CCCCCGCCTCTCAAGTTCCTCCCACTCAGCCCGGTGCTAGGGGCTCGCTTCCCACGCGGGCCCGCGGCTCCGTGTACGCATGCTCACCACTAACCCCGGGCAGGCGGGGGCGGGGTCACGTTGCGTCATCGGGGCGCGCTCTGCGGACGACGCTGCGGTTGCCGGAAGTTGAGCGGCGGTAAGTGAGCCGCGCTGGTGTGGGAGCGGTGGGGTCCTTCGGGGTCGGTTTTGGAGGCCTGGCGGGACGGGGCGAGCTCGGCTGTGAAGGCGAAGGTCTCAGAGAGTCTCGGGATCCTCCATCCCCCGGGGAGTGACTGACTCTCGCCCTCGTCCTCCTGCAGTGACGTCCCCTCAGATTGCCTCAGCCGGGGTCTTCTGACTCGGGTGGCCCTAATTTCCTAAGCCAGTCCCTTGAGTCCTCCGACAGGGCGAGCTCAGCATGTCCGGCGGTGGAGCGCGGCAGCTAGGACGCCAGGCTGCTCGTCCTGGCTTTGCCCGGATTTGCTGTGTGACTGGCACGTCATCCCCCTTCCTGAGCCTTCTTCCCTCATCTGTAAAATGGGAGTGATAATAACCCGATCTGTGAAGCGTGGACGTTAAGTTGGGCTTCTCTGAGCTAAGGTTCTTGATTCCTCGGTTTGGTCCGAGGGTTGTAAACTTTAATGCTTAGTCGGGTAAGGTAAATGTAGATGTAAGAAAATTTCTGTATCATAGAGTCAACTTTTATTTTTACTGAATTGAGTTATATGAGCACAATACTAACATATTATTATGGAGAAGTGAAACCAAATCTCCAGTGTGTGTGTGTGTGTGTGTGTGTGTGTGTGTGCGCGCGCGCGTGCGCTGGGGTCAGTCTCTTGTTTTTTAAACCCTTGGTGACTAATACATTTTTTTAAAAATTGGCAACTAATTAAAAATCTTTTAAACTGCATCTGAAACCAGGCATATCTGTGGCTTCCAGTTTGGGACCTTTGAGTCCCAGATTCCCTTGTCCATTGAATACTTGGATTTCTTCTGTGACACTGCCACTGGTTAAAATTCTTAAGTGACAGAAGCTTACTACTTCTTGCTACTCCTATTTGGACTTCCTCCAGCTCTGACTCTTAAAAAGTCATAAATTGAGCTGAAAGTGGTTACCCAGTAATTTCAGCTCATTGTCCCTCCTTCAGGCTCTTAAGGCTCTCACTTCCACTTTATTGCCCACACATCTTTGAAAGCTGCTAGTTTGTCTTCCTCTTCCCACCTTTTCATCTTCAGGCTAAGCTCATATAATTTCTTCTTATATTAGAGAGAGGAAGGTGGCGGAGAGAGGGAGAGACACATGGATTTGTTCCACCTATTTATGCATTCATTGATTGCTTCTTGTATGTGCCCTGGCCTGGGATTGAACCCGCAGCCTTGGTGTATTGGGATGATGCTCTAACCAACTGAGCTATTCGGCTAGGACTCATTTTTTTACCCACAGTAAACTCCACAACAACTGAGAATATTGTTATGTGTCAATCAGGCATTATTGTAAGCATTGGTGATGTAGCAGTAAAATAAAACAAAAGCCCTGTTTCATGGAGCCTTCTTTTTGATCATGGTGGCCGCAGTTGAGGTGATAGTCAATAATACAGTACTTCTAATGGGTCATAGGTGTTTCGGATCCTGATAAACACTTTTTAAAAAAAGAAACAAGAGGCTCACAGGCTGTGTTTCACCTGTAGCCCTTTGCTTTTTTTTTTTTTCTTTCAATATATCTTTATTGATTTCAGGAAGAGGGAGAGAGAGAGATAGAAACATCAATGATGAGAGAGTCATTGATTGGCCATCTCCTGCACGCCCCCGACTGGGGATTGAGCCCGCAACCTGGGCATGTGCCCTGACTAGGAATCGAACTGTGATCTGTATCCTAGGTCGATTCTCAACCGCTGAGCCACACCTGGCCGGGCTAGCCCTTTGCTTTTGATGCTTCTACTTTCTGGAACATCTCTCCTTCCCCCTCCATTTTTCTTGGCCAACTCCTCCCTGCCCCTCATGTGACATAATTTTGAAACCCTTTAAGAAATTGAGCATAGGGTTCTCATTTGACCACAGGGTCCTTTTTTTGCTCCCAGCCAGCCTCTCATAATAGAGAATAACCGTAAGTATTTATTGAGCTTCTGCTATGCTTGGCACTGCTCTGCAAGCTGAAAATACCAAAATGAGTAAGAGACACATCCCTGTCCTCTAGGAATTAACTTTTTCTAATTCAAGGAGCTGGACAACAGCACTATTATATGAAGCTGTTGTAGAGGTTTGCTGGAGGAGGATTTAGGGTGCTCAGGTCAGGGTAAGACATCAGAGAAGGCTTCTGTGAGGAGGTGTTGCTTTACCCAAGTCCTAACGGATGAGCAGGACTGGACAGGTGGAGAGAGATGAGAGGTGGGAAGGTAGTGCAGACACTGGGAGTAGTGTGAGCTAAGGGCTGTGGGTGACAGTGCATGACCTGCAGGTAGTTCACCCAAATTGGAGTATGGAGTTGTAGGGTAAGACGTGACTGAAAATGTAAGCAGGAGACATCATATAGGGCCTTGTGGACAATAGCATATTAAGAACACAGACTTTGGAATCTAAAATACTTGTGTACCAGTACTAGCATTGCCACTGAATTAGTTTTGTGACCTTGAGCAAGTCACTCTCTTTTAAAGCTTTAGTTTTCTCATCTATAAAAAGAAATATAAGCCCTCCCAGGGTTGCTGTGAGAATTAAATGAAGCATTTGTTATCCACTTGGCTCTGGTAGATGGTAAACAATAAACTATAGCAGTTAATATTGCCATGCTGAGAAGTTTGGACTTTATTTTGAAAGTGTGATGGTGGAGAAGGATTTTAAACAGGGTGTGACATGCTCTCATCTATTTTAAATTACCCAGGCAGCATTCTGGTGATTACATTGAACAGGGTTCAACCAGCAGGGAGACCAGTCGGGGCACTGTTACCTGGTCTAGATGACGAGAAGGAGGCTAGATCGAGGCAGTGACTGCGGAGGGGGAGGGGAGAGTGTGGATTTGAAGGATGAAGTGGGATTTGCTGGACTGGTAACTGATTGAGTGACCCCATACAGGGGAAAGGAATCAAGATATTGGGGTGGGAGAGAATGACTCCTCTGCATGGTAATAAGTAATAACAGAATTCTTTGATTAACGTTCCCTGAGATTATTTCTGACCTCCTCTCAGATTGCCTCTGCCCTCCAGTTTTACCCATGAAAGAATGAAGTTCACAAATGCCTTCCTTCTCTCCTCTCTTTCCCAATCCTTACTTCCACTTTTCTCAGTGTAAGTAAGGCCCAATTGTGATTCAAGGGAGAAAAACTGGTGCATCAGACTGCATTGTTATCCGATTGTGGTGTTTTTTGGACTAAGATTTATAACCCTATATTCACCTCTATGAAATTTTTTTTTTAATCGTCACCCAAGGATATTTTTTCCATTGCTTTTCAGAAAGAGTGGAAGGGGGAGAGAGACAGACAGACACATCGAATGGTTGCTTCCCACAGACGCCCCAACCAGGCCTGGGATTGAGCCTGCAACTGAGGTACGCGCCCTTGACTAGAATAGAACCCACGACCCTTCAGTCCCCGGGGTGATGCTCTACCTATGGAGCCAGACTGGCTAGGGCCACCTATATGAAATTTTTAATCTTGTTAAAATAGGCCTGTCATTCCGGGCAGTCAGTGTCTTTTTTATTCTGAATTTTTGTTATCCATCGTATTGCCTTTTCTTCCCTGCTTCACGTCACATGTAGAGTTGATAAGCAAGCATTGTTATCCAAGTTACTGATAAAATGTAATGACAGTACCTTATTGAATCGATTTGTTTGTGTCTGTTTCACTGCTGTAAGAGGTTTAGCACACATGAAATACTTTGTAAATACTGATGAGTATTCATTAACATAGAAAAATAAAGTACAGTAGTCCCTCCTTATCCATGGGAGAACACGTTTCTAGACCCCCCAATGGATGCCTGTAACCATGAATAATACCGAACCCTATAAATATTTTGTTTTTTCCTATACATACATACATGTGATAAAGTTTTATTTATAAATGAGGCACAGTAAGAGATTAACACTAACAATAAAATAGAATAATTATAACAGTATACTGTAAGTTATGTTAATGTGGTCTCTGTCAAAATATCTTATTGTACTGTACTCACCCTTCTTCTTGTGATGATGTGAGACGATAAAATGCCTGGTAAAGTGAATGATGCAGGCATGGGGAGGTAGGCTACTATTAGGCTACTATTGACCCAGAAGGAGAATCATCTGCTTTGGGTAATCCTGGACCGTTGAGCCATGACGATGTTGATGGTCGGATGTCAAGGCAGATGATGCCAAGAGCTGAGAATCCTTGATAATTGAAGGGTTTTTTTTGTTCGTTTGTGTTTTTACTAACAGGGGTGGCATATACAGTGTGGATATGCTGGACAAAGGGATGATTAACAACCATGGCAAGACAGAGCTGGACAGTGCAAGATTTTATCACACTACTCAGAACGATATGCAATTTAAAACTTATGAATTATTCTGAAACTTATTAATATTTTTGGACTGTGGTTGACCTTGGGTAACTGAAACTGTGGAAAGTGCAACCATGGATAAGGGGGGAACTACTGTAAAAATAGATTGGGCAGGACCAAAGACTGAGCCAAAGACTTATCACTATTAGCTCCTTTCTTATTAACATCAGTTCATTCCTTAACCAGCATTCTTTGAATAAGATTATTTCACCAGTTCTTAATTCCTCTAATTATTATTTTTCCTCTAATTATGATTCCTCTAATTAGTATTTAATTCCTACATCTTCATCTCGTCTACTAGGGTATCTGGAACAGTCTTGTCAGAGACGTTTCTGAGGTCCACATATCCTATATCCTGTGTGTATGGTTCTGTGATCAAGGCAGAAATGAGTTACTTCATAATGCTTGTTTCTTAAATAAACCATAGTGGCCTCTTGTGATTACTCAGGACTGCTGCATACAGTTGTGCAGGTTATGTACTGCTCAAGAGGTCACATCTGAGGGGGTTCTGTTTAGATCATAGGCATCATGGGTGTATTTTTATAACAGTTTTTTGGCAGACAAGGGTAAATGTCTTGAGCTAACCTGTTCAATATATTACAACAATTTTCTAAGAAAAGGAAATAAAATGTTTTGAAGGGGTACAATTTTCTAATTGTACAAAGGTACCATGTGGACTAGAATGTCTCATGACATCTTTCCTAGGAGCAAAATATCTGTTCAGTGGGATACAGAATCCATCTTTATTCTCATTTTTGGAAATCAATTATTTTGAAAATCTGAAATCAGGTATTGGTTTGTCCCAGCTTTTTAGCACTTCTCCCATTTTCCAGGACTCCTTAAAGGTCCCCAGAAATGAAAACTACAGAAACTGTTATTCAGAAGCAAGCCTTCATTATTCAGCCAGCTTTTAGAAACAACAGATTTTAGTGGTTGGTTGACATAAGGGCTCCCCAGCTATTCAGGTGAATCCAGGTGGTTATCCCTCATGTACAGAAAGGACCAACATGATTGGTGGAGGTAATAAATAAACACTCAAAAGTAGTCATACTGTTCTCCATTATCCTTGTGTTGTCTCTCTCCTCTTTTCCAGGTTTCTCCTCAGCTTTCGCTCTCACTTCCTTGTATGC